GTTCATTTTTATCATTTGATTTCAGTTCATCGTGATGAAAGTCAGTAGTCGTGATGTTTCTCTTCAGTCTGTTCTTCCCTGGTACATTTCAAATCTCTGCCCTGTGTGGAAAGAATGCAGACAATCATGTCTATCTGAAAGAGGATTACTCGGCCCTAACATCCGTTCAGCAAATTTTCTGTTATATATATATATATATATATATATTTATGCCTTTATTTGGAAATAAAAGCTCTTTTTTAAATTCGCTTTTCTCCTTTTAAACTCAAAACATCCGTCATCAGTCAAAACAGTCATTAACTGTTGGTCACTTTCCCTTTTTTTATTCCAGTAAAACTCCAGTCTTATCACCGTGTGGTGACTGTATAAACTGTTGAAGAAAACAGTAGTTGAAGAAAGCATGCCTATTGATCGCCTCAGACTTTCTCACTAATCCATTGCTTATTCACGGCCTCTGTGGCATCACATAAATTAATAACGTCTCTCCAGCAGAGCCTCTTGTCTCGCTTAGAGGCCTTCTCTGCTTGGCCCGAGCAACTTTCTGTCCCAGAAATCTCACAAGGCTGCTGCTGATTTATCTGCTGATTTCTATACACACACACACACACACACTTTTGGAAACAAAGACTTTGCATATAGTTGGTCTTGACAATCGCCACAGAGCTCATAAATATCCGACAAGGCCCAAAGGTTTGATCACAGTTTCACTCTAACTGCTTAATCTTGACACAATAGCGGGATTTAGTACAGATCTGGGGATTAGCTACTGTTTCACTCCCGGGGTTTGGGATATTATTGTAAAAAATCACTCTGCTAGATTCCAGTAAGACTCTGACACTGTATATGGACACTGACCAGACAGCCTTAAGTCTTTCAGTAACCTCTTTTTGTCATGCAGCCAGCGGAAAGCTAGTCAGAAGCAGGAAGCAACCTTCCAGCCACTAAAACAGCTGCCTTTGGATGAGAAAGCATGAGCACTGTGCAGCTGATCGTAAGGCATGTGAGCTGTTTTGTTTTTCTGTGTGCATGTACTGTATGTTAGTTTGCTGGAGGGACTCTAACTGCTGGGATCCTTCTTTATGTAATGCCAATACCATCATTAAGACAGAGATATTTATAATATACTTTTTATTAGTATTTATATAATAACATGTTTACTACACAATGCAGGTCCTGTTGTAAAATGCATGAATGATGGTGACACACAAAGTTCAGTAGGCCTGCTGACCCATGGGGCATAATGGATATGAATTACTGTATAGTCATCAAAGAGTCACATTTCCTTAGTGCCATACTGTTCTGAATAGTCAAGGTTAAATTGGCCATACATATGCATTTCTGTATAATCCTAATGAGAATACTGAATGTCACAGGTGCCGGTCCCCAGGTTGCTGTTCTAACGTCCTTGGCCTGCTTAGCTGTAATGAATTGGCTATTTTCTTGCCTTAGTTAGTTCTGATGTGAATGGGTACTGGTTAAGTGGCTCTTAAACGGGAAACATAATTGGTCCCCTGTTTAAAACAACAGTTATTTATGACTGACAGAGGTTGTGAAGTGCAGTGCTCTTCCTGCCTGTCTGTCCACAGCAGGTTTATTCTTACTGGAACACCTCATCCGATCCCCCTTGAAACGCAAGCCTGCTGACCACCGCACTACCGCACACCTGCACACCTCATTCATAAACCATTACGAGATGACTAAAAGTGCACCTGCGCCTTTCACCTTTCTTTTTAACGTCACGCGTGTTTGCTTTTCATTCATAAAAAGAATATATTATCTGAATTTGTTCTTCCTTATCTCTGACACACCTGAGCACAAGTGGGACTCATAACACATTATACTGCTGCACCAGAGTATCACCTGCATTCATGTGGTTTAATTTAATTTAATTTGAATCACATGTCTTCAGTAGCACGGCGAGATTGATTTCACACCAACACATAATGGATTTAACATGCTTGTGTAGCTCTTAAAAATAGCTGCTATTAGATACAATTGGATGTTCTATATTTGCTTGGCAATGGCTGAACTGACCTGGAACGCCAAGTTTATTGTCACCATTTACCTGGTGATGTGCTCACTGAACCTGAAAAACAGATGAGGGCATACCAGCCAACAAATCTTTAATTTCTTCTTTTTAAAAGATATGTTTCTTGTGGTTGTTTGAATATAATCTTTATGGCACACGGTACTTGGCTACCCGAACAGTTTAACAGGTTTTTTTCTCAGGTTTTGAGTGTCAGCAAATTTAGAAAACTACCTATTTAAACACTAATACCTCCTGTCTGTGTTTAATCATCAATGTGAGGTTTCTTTCTTTGTGTATTCAGACTGTTCACACTGTCCAAACTAACATGACATCTGTAGATAATGCATTTTTCTTTAAATACATTTGGTTTCTGAGCCTCTGATGGATTAAAATCACCACTCAACCTAATGTCACTGACCCCAGCTTTAATAGCAATTTTGTGGACTCAACAACCGCAGGAGGAAAGTAGAGACCGTTATACACAAGAACAACGCAGTGACTACATGTACTCATCTCTAATAAAGGGTGTGATTGTAATTATTTGCAGCATGATAAATTAATAACAGCAGTTAAGTACCTGGGAGAGAGATGGAGAGAGAGCTGAGGGGCATTGTGCAGCATGAGCAGTGGAGGAAAGGCAGGAGAGTGAACGGACTCGGCCTCATCTTGGCTATCACATTACACATGATACATCAGGATGCTGGCCTCTCTCTGTGGGCCCTATGGCTCTGCCTCCTCCACTCACTTACTCTTAAAGTGACACGCCTCTTTGTTGCACCAGGGCCGAGGTCTACTCATGACACACTGTTTTGGTAGAGAGTTTGCCATATATGAGGATAGATACGAGTTACCAGAGGAGGGAAGCCTGGAAATGTATCCTTATTGAGTAAAGTAAGTAATCCTGCCGTGGAGGTGGTATTTTGTTGGACTTAACATAGTCAAGTTATTTGTTGTTGTTTGCATTCGGAGCTATTTTGACTTTAAATTAGGCTTGTAATTTGTTACAAAGAGTAAGCATGTTTCCATCCCGTAGGCACTTTCTTAATTCATTTTTGTTTATTTTTGTTGAACTTTCCAAAGTTCCGGGCATTTTATCCCGCTGTGTTGTGCTCTAGTTTATACGGTGTAGGTAAGCAACAGACCACGTTTTATTCTACGCAGTGTAATAGCATGGGGAATATTATTAATATGAATTTAATGTGATAATAATATACACTGATTTCGCACTGCCGGCACACTACTTCCTCAGCAATTATCTAAAGTGGTACAACTTCTAAAAGCGCAGGAAAGCAATTGCTGCATATTTCTGAAATAGCAAATTGAAAAGACTTCACACGCGGCTTTAATGTGTTTCATAGGCCCTCAAAATCAGTGATGTGCATTAACCGGTTTGGCTGGCTATGCCATTTTGAGAGGGTAGTCAGGTGCCTGGAGCCAGGAAACAATGCTCTCCACTCTGTTTGTGTTGTGATGCTTTGTTATGGCTTTGTTCTGCTCTGTTTGTCCTCTCAGTCATTTGAAGAGTGTACCTCACTCACTGAGCTCTGAGAAATGCTCTCTCCCTCTATGACAGGTCTGCAGAGTATATTTTCGACAACAGAACTAGGCCACAGTATGATTTTATGATTTTTTTACTCAGCCAATAGCATGCAGCCTGTTTCAATGCACATTTATTTATCACAGATTCCCACAGGCATTCACTGCTCCAAATTTGTTTTTGCTTTAAATTTGTCACATTCTATAAGACAGTATTTTATTTGAATTCATGTCCCCAACCTTGTTAGAATGCAATCTTTGTTTTATTAAAGTAAAAGTGCTGCCTCCTGAGCTGCTACTTTCTCAAAGCATGAGCATAATGAAACCGAATATTCCCAGAAATGGTTTTCTTTTTTTTCCTGATCACGGCATACAATCTTAGGGATAAAAACACAGATGTCTGGGCAAGGAGAAGGGGCTTTACAACGATATGAAAGCATGAGAGGCACTTGCTGGCTTGAGCCTGTTATTTTCCACTGTGATAGTAAATAAGCATTTCACCTGATGTGGTTTTGCTGAGCAGCTCCCACAGTATGAGGTGCTGTGTTGTAGTGTGAATAGCAGAAGATGCTATTGGTTACAAGGAAACACATTTATCGTGTTATTCCAGACTCAGTCTCCTTTCAAATAGTGGAGTTTGTTTTTCTCTGCCTGTTTCTATGTGTATGTTTGACCTTGATTGTGTATATAATGAGTCTCTGTGTGTGTGCGGTGGTGTTAAATGGGTAGGCGTGGTCAGCAGAAATCTACTTTGGCTCAGAGTCTATGGTAACGCAGGACTGCAGACGGAGAGAGCTGGGGTGTGTGACTGTTGGGAACAGCAAATCTGAAGAGGCAGTGTACACAGAATAAGGGTAGCATGGCAATGGTTGAATGGGAGGTGTGCAGGTTAGTATGCATGGGACTGTATGCTTTCATTGCGATCAGTATATTTCCATTAGATATTTTTTGTTTCCTCAGGTTTTATTACAGTAATAGTTCAACCTTTTGAGAAATACACATATTGCATTCATTTTTCCCAAGATGGAAATAAGAAGATTGATGTCACGGTGTTAGGTGTGTAGCTAGAGCCAGGAGGCAATTGTCCTAGCTTAGCATAAAGGCTAGAAAGAGGTGCAAACAGCAAGCCTGGTTCCTGGCTCTTGGGATCATTATTTAACCGGCAAGTTCAAGGTATTCTTAAACCTTTTCAGAGTCAGTCAGGTTTCCTCCTGCTTCCATGCTATGCTAGGTTAACTACCACCTAGCTGTAGCTCCATACCTAACACACAGACATAAGAGTTGTATCAATCTTCTTACTCATCAAGAGAAAGCAAATAAGTGGATTTTCCAAAATGTTAAACTATTCCTTTGACACGTGTTAATGATTGATTTGATGGTGATGAAACAGCTCTTAAACATGCTATTTATGTCTCTTCTCTTTCTTATGTGTTAGCAGACTCAGAGGCCTTCAGTTGTCGGGAAGATATCACACCGCAGAAGAAGCAAAAAAGATTTTATCAAGAATATCAAGCAAAACAGGCCAAATATCGAACTGAGGTGGATGGTTGCAAGAGCCAAGCAAGGGCAACGTACCACAAGAGCCATGTGGGAGGAGTGTGAGGGAGTTTTGCTATTTGCACGCATCATGCCCAAACACTTTCTCTACTGACAAAGCTGAACGTTCCCCAGCCTTCCTCCAGAGCTTTTCCTCAGGGGGAGCCCCTGCTATGAACCCCAGCTCCCTTGGCTTCAGCAGGCAGTCCAACCTCAGAGCCAGGCGCTGTGTGGGCATCCCACAAGTCTGGGTTCTGCCCACACAGGACTCACAGACTGCCCCTGAACAAAAAGAATGAAATACTCCTGAGTCACTCCTCTGTGTGGTGGCTCTCCTGTCTAGTGTTAAATTGGTCTGTTGTGAAGTTTTGTCTGCCTCTTCCCCAGCAAGTTTCTACCTTCAGTGAGAACCCTCTCCAACTCCTCCACCGAGTCCTTTTCGGTCACCACTTCGTTATAATTTGCTTTCCCATCAAACAGCAGCACGAGTTCCTTTTTGCTCACCACGTGGTGGAGGACCATGGGATGCCGTCAGAGCTCGGAGGAGAAGGAAGCGGCGCGGCGCTCTCGGCGAATCGACCGCCACTTGCGGTCAGAGAGCCAGCGGCAGCGGCGTGAAATCAAGCTACTGTTGCTGGGCACCAGCAACTCGGGCAAGAGCACCATAGTCAAACAGATGAAGATCATCCACAGTGGAGGCTTCAACCTGGACGCCTGCAAGGAGTACAAGCCCCTCATCCTGTACAATGCCATTGACTCCCTCACCCGCATCATCCGTGCCCTCACCACCCTCAAGATCGACTTTCACAATCCTGATCGCGCCTACGATGCTGTGCAGCTCTTTGCCCTCACAGGGCCAGCTGAGAGCAAGGGGGAGATCACTCCAGAGTTGCAGGGGGTCATGAAACGTCTGTGGGCTGACTCAGGGGTCCAGGAGTGCTTTCAACGATCCAATGAGTACCACTTAGAGGACAACACTGCCTACTACCTGAATGACCTGGACCGCATCTCTGCAGCTGAATACATCCCTACTGTAGAGGACATCCTGCGATCCCGTGACATGACCACTGGCATTGTGGAGAACAAGTTCACCTTCAAGGAGCTCACCTTCAAGATGGTAGATGTGGGTGGACAACGCTCGGAGAGAAAGAAATGGATCCACTGCTTCGAGGGTGTGACTGCAATCATTTTCTGTGTCGAGCTAAGTGGCTATGACCTCAAACTCTACGAGGACAACCAGACGGTAAGAAACAATTCATAGTAAATGTATGCATATGCACACAGGTATGCTGCTTGCCACAGCACTTACTCACTTTAACACAGTCGTCTGAAGAGGAACGATATCAATCCATTTAGCACAAATATTCTGTCTTATGTTATCTCTTATGTTATCTAAAATTTGTACAGCATTCGTGAGAAGAATTAGAAGATTAGATCATTTAAGTAATGAGAATATAGTTCTTATGTGAACACTTAACTGATCATCTGATTAACTGCAATAATACCAACAATGTTGGTATATAAGTTCTAGTCCATGGAATTACTCGAAATGATCAACTGTTAGTTGCACAAGTATGATGAGGGCAAAATACTGTGAGGTGTCACCAAACAACCTATATTTGTGTTAAATGGTTTAACCCTTCTGAGAAACAAAATGAACACAAGCCTCTTCTGCACTGTCATTTCCTCTCTGTACATCCCCGTTGTCTTCAATACAACAACCGTGCTGTGGTTACAGATACAGGGATTACATTTTACTTTTGCTTCCGTCATATACATATTATTTGCAATTGCATATTTCTTCTAAGATAGTGGCTATTTTAAATGTATTAAGGGTACTTCCGGAGTTACTGCAAACTGTGTTGTTTGATGATTACTTCCAAAAAACTCAATAGCATTTTCGAACAGAGGAAAGAGTTTGAAAGGTGAATTTCAGTTGCAAAAATAAGGAGTTTAAAATATAATTGTTTTCTCATCATTTCATTTTAGTAGCTTGAGTACATCATGTCTGCTTTTCCGATTGTAAATTACTTATGTTTACTCTGGTGGGGACAAATGCACAATCTTAATCTCACTGAAAGATCCTTAAACCACCAAAGTGCTTATCATTTAAAATACAGAAACAGACCGGCATAAACAAACATGCAGAGTGTGTTCATTTCAGTCAGTGGACTGTTTAGTGGACCTTGAATTGAACACGTCTACAAGTATAGTAGTATTTTAATCTATGTGAAAATAAAATGTACAAATGTAGGGGTATTGGTCTGTGGGGAAGAAGCCTGGTTTAGATGTTAGCCTCAGAGAGCCTATAAATTACAGTATACTTTTTTTGAAAGATATTCATTATGGCCTACACTAACTGTTGATTGGATATGTTGGACTAAAAACCAAATTTTTTCTTATTTGTATTGTTACAGGCAAAAGTTTTAAGACATAATTGTTACTTCCTAATATCCCCACACGGCATCCAGGAATACTGTATGCACCCTTTTCATCCTTTTATTCTCATCCTAAATAACGTTACTACATGATATAATTTCTCTAAAGTTTATTCAATTTTGTATAATAAGCAGTTTGGAAAGCCTTAAATAAGTTTTATGTCCCATATTCAAATGTTTTTTGGTTGGGGGCAAGAGTGGACCGATTTTGTAGAATTGGGTGAGAATAAGGTGGCTGCCTTAATGTGAGAGCAAAGCTGTTTTAAAACTGTCAGAGTGAAGAGAGTGGCCCGTGTAAGTTATCTTCTATTCATGCCAGTGGAATTTCAACAATTTGCTATCCATAGCATATCCATCTTCTTATCTGAGTGTTTTGGAATAGTTGGGTAGTTATTGCTTGTTTAACTGCCCATTTGATAATGGAAGGTCAACAATAGATACTATTCTACTTTTTAGTCTTGACCAACTATGAGGGGTCAGTTATTTTCTTTCTTCGCAGGCATGATCACATTTCTTTCCTAAAGAGTTTCCACTATCCATGTTCACCTTGATATCTTTATACAGTCTCTGCAAGAAATAACTTGAGCACAGAGGAAACTTTGTCATTCCTGTAACTGAACTGGCCTGATAATTCATAGGTTACCCGAATAAAACAGGGTGTACACTGCGCCAGGTTGGAACATGAAATCAATTAATTTTATAGGTTAAAAATAAAGTCTGAGGAGAAAAATGCAGTATGGTGTTAATTGAGTTCACAGAATAAAGTGTGGGGCTGTACCTGTGAGAATTAGCAGATTGTGAAGGCACTGTGTAGCAATGGGAGTTCACAGGTGCTGGAAAAAACAACTTTTATTATTCCAAGATAGGAGCGGAAGACGAAAGCAATGGATCCAAAGCACCAGAAAGAAAGCCACCCTGAAATTAGAGCAGCCATCCTGCTGCTCAGCCTACTGGGAATAATAAGATTGCTGCAAATACTGACATTTTCATGGATGTTTTGTGGTTAAATTATTGACTGCTTTTACAGTTTTATGTGTTTTAATACATGACGCTAAGCTTAAGATCTGTTTGAACATACCAAAAGGGTTTCTTCAGTTGACAATAAACTTGCAATTTAACAGTACTAACATTAATGTTGGCTACGATTTTCAGAGGCTAGACTGAACCACTGTTGCTGCATGTTGTTGCTGCTGCTGGAGTGTAACACACGCATAGTGTTATTTTTCATTATAAGATTGATGCTATTCACATTTAGCCATACTCTTTCCTAAATAACTGTCCATGCATTATCTGGGGCCTTATCCCAGCATGCCTCAGTGAGAGTTGGGGTACACCCTAAACAGGTTGCCATTCTATCACATATCCCTGCTCAGAGCCTACCACTGCAACTATACTGTGAGACAAAAAACAAAGCAAAAAGCCTTGAATTGCATGTTGCCTGGAGTTAAAAATGCTAAATCTGTAAAAATATTGTACTAAAAACAATTGATGGCGATAACACATAAACCAAAATGTAATATTCATGACCTTCAGGACATTAAAACAAACCTGTCTGTCATTAATTAAACTAATTAATTTAGTCTCATTGATCAGGTTATAAGTCCAGAAGAAATGTACATTTTGTAGTGCATCTAAATAGCAGACTATAGCTTATATAATTAGCAGTGTTATGACACCGTAGGTGGTCTTATAACAGTGTCTTAACACCTCTGCACCATTTGTCATTGTTCATATTTTACTAAAAGTATAATTATATTTATATAGATATTTTCTGGATGAATAAAACATACATATGGCAGAAATGTGTAGACGTTTATTAACGTTATGACCTACAGAGATGATCTCCTCACACATATTTTAAAGTGAATATCACATTATGCATGGGGCGCATACTTAGATCACACCACAACAATGCTAAATAAAATGTATCAATCTGAGCCTGTCAGTGACAAAGTACTCATACAGTGACATGGAGACACTTCACTTGCCGTTATTTGTGGTATAATGTAGGCTAAACATTTATACAAATGTCCTACACAGATTTGTGAAAGAGAGGCTGTACTAGCATACAAATCACATAATGGCGGCCATACAGGACATCAGGCCACACCCTCATAAATCTACAGGACATCAGGCCAGACAGCATAATGCAGCAACAAATCTAAATGTCACATTGACTGTATACCTAATCTAAATTCTAAACTGAATTGAGGTACGTCGCTGTGGTTCCTGCGACATCATACTGAAGGCTCCACAGTTAATTCCTGACATCTTGGAGCCGCTCGCTTCCATAACCACTGTCAGCTGACACAACACTGCTGAACAGCATAGCCATTACCTAACACATAGTCTAGCTTCTACATGCTCAATACGTCCGCAATGTGAGAAAGAGAAGAGTGTTTGTAACTGTGTACTCAATGTATCTCTGGTTAAGAACTGTATATGATATACCAGCTGATGGGGAATATAACCGCAGTGAAACACAATTTGGTTTACGTTAAATTGGATTAAGCTTCAGTTATGATTAACTTTAGACAACTCCATGGAATGAAGGTCAGTACAATGTGATGGTAAAGGACGAGATCATTAAGCTGACGTGATTCAGGTGCAAAAGGAGAATTATACTGACGAGATACTGTACAATAACAGCAGATATTGTTATATATTACAAAATATTAACCCTTAGAATAAACAAACTTAATATCTGGAACAAATATCACTAAGTTACAGTTTGTTAGGCAGAAAACATGCTTACATACACAGCATATTTCAATTTACCAGAAAACAGATACTGACAATTGAGCTTCTGGTAAACAGCAGAATATTAGGCAGACTGATCTCAGGGGATATGTAGACATATTTCTAAAAAAATGTTTTCCATCTGTTTGCTTGGCTTGTTCAAAAAGGAGATGATTGTGCAAACTCAACTGATTTTCAGATAAAGAACAAACCATTCACCACATCCTTACCGTAACCTTCTGCAAGATAATTTTGCGTAACCTAACTTGAACTTGCCTAAAGTGAAATGATAAGAGATTTGGCAGATACTTTGCATTTGTTTGGTTTTACAATACACCTAATGTTGAATAAGTTTGTAGTAAAGCCCTTGCACATATTGAGGTTTAATTAATGGGTTTTTTCATAATAATGCTATAAATGTAATGTAAATGTTACTGTAATTCCCAATCCTGCTTTGTTAAGGGGAGCTGCCATTGTTAGTTTCCCTCCAGCATCAGTAATATTTACTCTTTTGACATGAACCTGCCAGCAAACATATCTATTACCTTCTTTACCTTAGCACTGACACAATTGAGTCAATGAGTACAATTCATTCTGTTATATACTTTCTGGACCAGTGGTGACTCATCATTTTTTAGTTGAAGTGCTACAGCTGAATCTTCTATTTCATAGTCTACGTTGCGAGCACAGAAAATCTGTGAACAATAGTAGCATGATCCTTTGTTAATGAGCAGGTTTGAGTAGAGGCTCCATAAATTATGTCTTATCTGATGGAAAACAACACAACAGGACTGACTATGGAGGTTGAATGACGCAGCCAAAACTGGTAAAGCTCGATGTTTGTTGAAGAATTCGGTCGTTCATACGACTCTCACTGCGAATTTTGAGGCAGTCATCAGTTTTTATGTGTACGTATGATGATCACTGATTAATGACTCAGTCCATACATATAAGAAACTGTTTCAGCTGCTTCAAAGGTGCTCATTAGAGGAAAAGGTGTTTTTATAATGATGTCTTGTTGTATCCTTAACCTTCAAAGCTTTATGCAATGTCAGAAAACAAACTTAATCAGACCAGACCCACACGGTTTAGTTTCAATGCACCAGCTCACACAAGACAGAAAATACACCAGAATAATTACAGTACAGCATTTGCCCATCAACCCATTCCCTGATGCATTTTCCCTGTCCCATCCCTGTCTTCATAATGAATCGGTTGCCATGGTTACCGTTTCTTAGCAACAGGCCAGTCAAATGCTCCTAATCCTGCGCTGTTGACAGTGAGCTGTGACTAGGGAAGGGAGGATGAGAAGGGGAGAGGAGGGTGAGAGGAGGGGAGGGGGGAACAAACAGCAGCGCTGGAGAGAATAGATATGAGGTGTCTGTGTGCACGCATGTATTGTGTGCCTGCGTGAGTGTTTGCGTGTGCGTTATTATGAATGTGCAGTGCAGGTTTATATGCAAGGGCTGAGGCTGAGCAACTGCAGCAAATTCTGTGTGTATGTGAGGTGAAAATGAAAAGCCTAGATGTGAGGTGAGCCGCTGTTTAAGCTTGTGTTAGCCAAACATCAAGGCAGATACGGACTGCAGTGTCAGCTCTATTTCTTGTTTCAATTATTATTTTTATTAACCTCTCAAACAAGAATTATTACCTGTCACATGAAATTAATTATTAATTACTGGTGTTTCATGTTTTTATGTCAAAGTTTGTCATGTGCACTTCTCCTTTCAAACCACAGCAAAGACGACATATGAACTGATCTGAATGTGAAATGACAGTTTCACTGATCAGTGGCTTTAAATCACACCGAGCATCCCTTCAGAAGCACAGAGGCAGGTGTCAGAACGGTGCCTCAAAATGTACTCAGAAATATTCTCCCTCAACTCAGCTACAGCATCTTAACCGCCTAATGGGTTATCAAAGGCTTTACTATCATGTAATTGAATTGCTTCATGTGACATAATGGCGTTTTGAAAAAGAGCTTTCCAAGAAACAGAATGAGATTGTTCAAGGACCACCAAGTGAGAAAATCTTGTCATGTTTGTTAGTTTTTTTTTGCCAATATTTTCTTGACCAGATTCTACATGCGCACTTACAGTAGGTTTCAATGTATCCTCTATACTATATAACAATTGCATTACTGAACTGCTTTAGCAAATGCTAATTTATTGCATGTTACCAGATTCAGTTTTACCTTAAATATTAATAATCTATAATAATCTACAATGACAGTCTGAAGGTTCGGTCCTACACACAACTATCCATGTTACATGTAGTATTAAGGTAGCCCATACTAGCCTCGCCTTACAGAGCAAAGCTTTTATTTGTCGTCATTTTAGCTTTGCCTTATAGTGGACACAGAAACTGATACTGTATTATCCACATCAAACTCTTCCACATTACAAAAGAATAAAGCTTCAGCAAATGAGCAAACTTCAAAGGACATTTTTTTACTCTTTTAGCTGAGAATCAAAAATGCGATTTTGCAGAAAATCTAGCACAAGAATAATATGTACAATTGTGTTTATGTTTGTTTGTGTGTTTCTTTTTAAATCTAACCCCAGCAGTGTTGCTGCCCACAATAACAGAGACATTAGTAATTAAACAGAGAGGGATAAGAGGAAGGGAGAAGCCTGAATAATGCAATTTTCAGGTACGGTAGAAAAAACATGGTGACAGAGAAAATCCTTTCGGTGGATAAGTGCAAAGCAACCCCTTCTTGTGAGGGAGTGACATTTAAAATGAACCTTAATGAATTACGAAGGGGTGGCTGCACACTTAAGTGATTTGTATTTATGGGAAACAAAGCAATGACACAGGGATGAACTTCCTCATTAATACTTAAGCTTAATTAAGGCCTGCGCCTCTGGACTATTCTGACAGGAGGCAGCGAGGGGGAAAACAGTGTATGCGTGTGTGTGTGTGTGTGAGTGTGTGTATGTGTGCGTGTGTGCGCATCTGTGAATCAGTTTGAAGCGAAGGAAGGGGGTCTGCATGCTTTAGTGCTCCTGGATGTTGCTCTCCCCCCTCCTCCCGCTCCCCATTAAGAAACTCTTACTGTACGAGCGCTGTTGTGGCCAGGTGAAGAGACTGGAGACTCCCTGGGCTCAGCTGGCTGTCTCCTGCCATACTCTCTTAGCAGCTGGGCTCTTGTTTTGACACCCTGCAAAGAGGAGGAGTGAGGTCAAACAGCCAGAATTTTTGTAGTGTACAATGTTTAGGAGGCCAGTCTTTGTCCCCGCGGGGACACATACTTATACAGAAAGGAGAGCTTATGTTTCAATCTGGTCGGATAACAACATGTGAGAGAACGGAGCAGAGAGGAAGACATATGGGTGAAGAAAGAGCAGTTTTAACCCTTCAGTGCAGAACTGGGGTTTAACAGATTCTGCAGACACACTCTTATGCAATATGGGTTGAATAAAACCTAATTCTTATTCCCTTCTTTGTGTGGTGTGTCATTTTAGTTTCAACAATTAGCTCATTTATTAGTTTGACAAACAGTGTTTTGGGATATTTTCTTTTTACAGTATCCAGTGGCTAGTTTTACAGTACTTGTGGCTCAACAGACATCGATTTCTTTGTTTTTGAAAACCTTTGTCCTCTCAGCACTTTTCCTCCAGGGATGTTTTTATTATGAGCTACTCACTCAAATTTGACACACAGCTGAGAAAGAGTATTTATGAAAAGTGACCCATATACCAAAACAACATATGTTAACATGTGTATGTTAAGGTCCCAATATTGGAAATTTAAATTTTCCAATAATACTATATTATTGGGCTACATATAAAGGTTGCATGCAACTTTCTTTTCTCACAACTGTAGCCTTTTCATCATTATCCAAAAATAGTGCACTTACACCACTGATTAATCAGGGTTTACTTTGAATCTGCACTACGATTGTCTAATCCTTTGCTATTCCCCTCAATATCTTTTTTCATGGTGTGCAGATCTTGTGATTTGCTCAGAGCATCACGTTGTTTCTGTAACCTTTTAAACAGCAGTCTTCCATCTGACAACCTCCCAGTCACAAGCTACTGGCCAGTCGCCACATGCCAGCCATGAACAGATCAACTTTCTTTTTCTTTCATTTCTCTTATACATTCAATGTCACATGAGCACAAACTGTATGGAAGCACATGGATGCATACATGCACATACACATGTATACAAAGTTTTCACGTAGACCTTTTTCTTCTGTACCAAAAACCAGCATATTCCACCATTCTGCAAATTAAATTTCCATTTGAAATAATCCATTTTGAAATTTCCTGTCCTGTGTGTAGTGGAATAAAATTAAAAAAACAAAACAACTAAATGATAAACAAGTTACATAACATAAAAGGTCCTGTTTCATATTTTTGTTTTTCGTTTTTTGTAACTTGTGACTAATTTATCTGTAGCACGTGGCAGATATCAGTGATTACATTATACATTTGTAAAATAAATCATAGATTTGTACTTAATTTTAAAATTTCATTAATTCATTTATTTCCTCCTACGGGAAATGATAATGCAGCAACATTTAGAATACCTCTATTTAATCATATTTATTTACCAAGCTGAAGGTTGAAGAAGAAAAACAATATCACACAGCCAGACCAGTTATGGTGCACTGGTTAGAGCAGTCTGTCCTCAGTGATCTGACCCCGACACCACGTGATCCAGTCACATTTTCATAACAATTATTGCAATATTTACAACTATTCTTGAGAAGAGTGAAACGTTGATCACTGAGTGATCATTATACAGTTTTGTACTTTGAGAACATTAGTGGTGGTTAAAGAAGTAATCAGCTGTTTCAGAGGAGAATGTGAGAGTTCAAACTCAGGTCTTCATCTGTCTGAGTCTCAAGTCTCTGTTGACATAACAGAAACGCCGTATCTTTTGGCTAGTCAAGTGGATACTGTGACTTGTGCTTGATTTTAGATCTCCTCTTATCTCGTCTTTATTTTCATCCTCAAATTTTGCCGTGACCTTACATGGCCTAATTTTCTCTCTTGGGTTTTCCCAGATCACATGATCCTGCTTGTGTGAATGAGGTCTGATTGTGTGATAAATTGGGCTGATTTGGGTTGTTGCTTCAAAGCAAATACTACATATTTCTTAGCTGTGAAATCATTTCCTCATGGTCTGATCTTCTTTTTCCTTTCCTTTCTCTCTCCACAACCACACAGAGCCGCATGGCCGAGAGCTTGCGCCTGTTTGACTCCATCTGCAACAACAACTGGTTCACCAACAC